CTGGTACTTCGCCTTACTAAACCTCACACTATTGGCCTCAGCCCATCAAACCAGCCTGGCCAGAACCCTCTACAGACTTCTACCCTCCAGCAGACCAACACTCCCTCCTAACTTGGTGTTGTCCTCAAATTTACTGCAGGCGCACCCAATCCCCATGTCCACATCATCAATAACTTTATTAAAAAGGACTGGCCCCAATACTGAAGCCTGGGGAGCTCCACTTATAAGTAGCCACATACTTGATGTGGTACCACTGACCACCACTGTGGACTGGGGGCCCAGCCATCCAGCCAGTTCTTCACCCAGCAAAGCATGCACCAGTCCAAGCCATGGGCTGCCAGCTTCTCCAGGAGAATGCTGTGGGAGACAGAATCAAAGGCTTTGCTGTAGCAACATCCATAGCCTTTCCCCCATCCTCTAGGTGGGCACTGGTCATAAAAGGAGATCAGGTTGGTCAAACAGGACCTGCCTCTCACAAACTGGGCTAGCTGGGCCTGATCCCCTGGCTATGCTGCATACGCAATGTAATGCACTCAAGATAATCTGTTCCATAACTTTCTTGGGCATCAAGGTCAGGCTGACGGGCCTGTAGTTCCCTGAATCCTCCTTCTGGCCCTTCTTAGGGGTGTGCGTCACATTGGTGATGTCTGTCCACAAGAACCTCTGTTGGTCTGGGGCCTCTCCAGTTAGCAGGACTGGTGATAAATGATGGAGAGCAGCTTAGTGAGTTCTTCTGCCAGCTCCCTCACTACCCTTGGGTGAATCCCATCTCACTACATGGACTTGTGAGTGTCTAACTGGCATAGCAGGTCACAAACTAATTACTCCTGGATTACAGGCAGTCTGTTCTGCTCCCCATCCCCATCTGCCAGCTCAGGAAGCTGTTTGATTACCCATCTTTCTGTTGAAGACTGAGGCAAAAGAGGCATTAACTGTTCAGCCTTATTATCCTTGGTTGCAATATTCCTCTTTACATCCAATAGAGGTTGGAAATTTTCCTTGGCCATTCTTCTGTTTTAAATGTATTTATAAAAGCATTTTCTACTATCTTTCACAGAGATGGCCACATTGAGTTCTAGGAGAGCTTTTGTCTTTCTAATTTTCTTTCTATGTGACCTAACAACACCCTTGTAGTTTTCCTGAGTTGCCTGCCACTTCTTCCTAAGGTGATAAACTCTTTTTTTTCTCCCTAAGTTCCAACAAAAGCTCCTTCTTCAGTCAGGTAAGTCTTCTTCCCTGACAGCTTATCTTTTGGCATGCAGGGGCAGACTGCTCCTGTGCCTTTACAATTTGCCTCTTAATGTATGTCCAGCCTTTCTGGACCATTTTGTTTTTAAGGGCTGTTTCCCAAGGAATTCTCTGAACCAGTGTCCTGAACAGGCCAAAGTCCAGCCTCCTGAAATCCAAGGTGGAGGTTTTGTGGATCCCTTCCTTACTTCACCAAGAATTGAATACACCATTATGCCATGGTCACTGTGCCAAAGATGTCATCTGACCACCACATTTCCCACCAGCCCTTCTCTTTGTAAAAAGCAGGGTACCCCGCCTTGCTAAGCTCACTTACCAGTTGTGTCAGGAAGTTGTCTTCCACACACTCAAGAAACCTTCTAGACTGCCTCCCCTCCACTGTGTTGAGTTTCCAGCAGGCATCCCACAAGTTAGTCTCCCACAAGAACAAGGGCTAGCCATTGTGAAACATCAGCCAGAGGCTTACAGAATAGTTCCTCCATCCCTTCATACCAGTTGGGTTGTCTGTAATAGACTCCTACCAGGATGTCTGTGTTGTTGGCCTTCCCCCTGATTCTTACCCACAGATACTCAATCTTGTCATCATTATCCTTGAGCTCTACACAGTTGAAACACTCTCTAATGTACAGAGCCACTCCATCACCTCTCCTTCCTTGCTTATCCCTTCTGAAGTGCTTGTAGCCATGAATTGCAGCATGCCATTTAAATGCCTTATCCCACTTCATTTCCCTGATGGCAACTACATCACAGCTTTCCTGCTGCATAATGGCCTTCAGCTCCTCCTGTTTGTTACCCATACTGATGTAGATGCCCTTTAGCTCGGCTATCAATTTAACCCCTGACACAGGCATGCCACCCCAGGTTTATCTCTAGTGAGTCAGGTCTTACCTGCTTCCCCCTTCAAACCAAGTTTAAAGCCCCCTCAATTGTCCCTGCCAACTCACAGGCCTAGAATCCTTTTCACTCTTTTAGACAGGCAAACCTCATTTGCCTGCAGGCAGCCTAGTGCTGTATAAACTATGCCACGAGGGGAAAAAGCCAAAATTGCACCAATGGCACCATCCTTCAAGCCACGTGTCGATCAGAGTTTTCCTGTTTCTTTCAGCACTCTCCCTGCTACTGAAAGCATTGAGGGAAACACCATCTGTGCCCTTATCCCTTCAACCAGTCATCCCAATGCCCTGAAGTCCTTTTTTATTGCCCTAGGAACTACCTCTGCTGACCTGGAAATCCAGAATTAGATAATAATCAGAGGGCTGAATTAGTCCATGGAATCTTCTAGTAATATCTCTTACTTAGGCCCCAAGGAGGCAGCAGATATCCCTGTGGAACAAGGCCAGTCAGTATAGGGGCCCTCAGTTCCCCTCAGAAGGGAGTCACCTACAACAATAACCCGTTCTTCTTTTTTACAGCTGTAGTTGTAATGTGTCTGACTGACTTGCCCCAGACAGACCTTCACTATCACTTGCTTGACACTCAAGTCCCAGAGCCTCACACCTAGTCCCATCTCTCCTCACAAAAAAAACCAACCAACCAAAACAAAAAAACAAGCACCCCAAAAACCCCAAGCATATTTGAATGCAGCAAAGTCAACCACAGCACAAAATATATAAGAATTGTAATAGCAAGACTCACATCACTGAGGTTTTTGAAATCAATCAGGAATTCTTCTTAAATCAGTTTTCTGCCCGATTGTACCTTCCTGCACGTCCTCGTCTGGTTGCTTCTTTTAATCTATGCTTAGATTGAAGCTTTGCTAGTTCCTGCCTTAACTCAATGGATTTATGAGCTGATTTGTTTTTTAAGGGCACTGGAGCTTATATCTTTATTCCTAAAAGATGCATCATCCTTAAATAGACATTGCTTATTACCTGTTGAGTATTCAAGACTTAAACAGCCACAATTTAAGATTTCAAGTTGCTTTATGAATGCCTAACAAACATCACTTAGCTCTTACTTCCAAAACACTTTCAACTTCAAGTTGCCATAGTCTATGAATAAGGCTTATTGTTTTCCGTTATAGAACATAACTGTAAGTCATGCATTACACTAAACTCTAAACAGCAAGATTAGGTGATTTTTGTTCAACTTGTCTTCCAAGCAGTGAAAGCAGAAGCAAGTGACCTAGAAGTATAGAGATGCTGTTTGATCATATAAGTAATGGTTAGAAAAGCAAAGCCTGACCTGGAGTTGGATTTGGCAAAAGACACAAAAGACAACATGAAAGGATTCTTCAAGCAAATCAGCAGCAGAAGGAAGACTAGGGAGGACAGGGACCTATGGCAAAATAAACAAAGGCCATGAAGGTGGGTGTATTTAATGTTTTTTTGCCTCAGTATTTACCAAAAAAAGTCTTAGGTTCCTGAGCCTAGAGAAGAAGCCTGCAGCAAGGAAGAGTTACCCACAGTTGAGGGAGCACTTAAAACATACTTTTGTATGCATCCTTGTAGCAGAGTACAACAGTGTATTGGTGTCAAGCAGGCCAGGAGGAAGATCCTTCCCCTCTTCTCAGCACTGCTGAGGCCATGTCTGTAGTCCTGTGCCCAGCTCTGGGCTACCCAGTACAAGGCAGACATCGACTTAATGAGGCAAACATGGAGTCACAAAGGTGATTAAGAGACTGGAGCATCTGACACAAAATGAGAGGGTGTTGTACCTCACACAGATTGTTTGGATGTAATTTTAATTATTTTTTATCATTATGGGTACAGCAACTAAACAAAAAAAGCAAACAAAAAATGCAAATCCACTTGACAAATTCTAGCTGTGAGATTATATGCACAAGCAAATGTGATAAACATTGTAGTAACTAGCCATTGACCAACCTAAATAGGTATTTAAACAAAGATTCTCAGCAAGCCCTGAATATAATTGTCTTTCTGCTCTTGACATTTTCAGACATTTGCCACACAAATATGATAAATACACCACAAAAAACTAAAAAGCTATTTGATTTCTATTAAATAACATCCATACCCAGTAACCAAAAAGACAAAACCATTTATTTTGCAGAAATTGAAAAGCAGACTTGTAACTAAGATTTTAAAACAGTCTAAAAATATCTGTAACTTCTGCTGTTATTTAATTGCATTTTAATATTAGACTTTTCATTTTAGTGCTTGATTAAGATTTTGGGAGGTGGTTTTTGTTGAAGTTTTTAAAGCAGTTTTTCAGACTTAAAATTATTTTTATATGAATATCAGCATACGTGTGCCTACTTCCTTTTCATACTTCCCTGCTTTTATAAAGTACATACAACTCTTCTACTGTTTCAGTTACCAAGCAATAGACTGTAAAAAAGTCATGCAAAACTTCCACAAACAGGTAATTGCACAATTCTGAAGAGAAACATACTTTAGGGCAGTAAAAAACACTGAGATTACCAGATTTAAAACACACAATTTGTAAACTGATTCAGTAAAACTGCTGGGAGAGTTAAAAAAAAAAAAAAGAAATCTCAGTTTTCAGCTAGTTTAAAGCAGAATCCAAGGAGGTCAGCCCATCCTGGCTCCTTTGAAATCAATAGGAACATGCCAAGCTGGTGCGGCAATGACACTGAACAGCTACTAAGATGTTGACGTGGTTGCTTCCTTAAAAGTTTTCTATACATGTTTTTGAATTGAACTCACTTTAACTCTCAATTTATTTTAACTGACATCAAAGTAACATACTTCTATACAATCACATGACTTTTATAACACTTTGACTGAAATAAAGGAAATAAGGAACATAAAGAATTGAAAATAAAATACCTGTTATTGAACAGTACACTATGTGAGGAGCAATCTTTTTAATGTCTTCATAACCTAGACCCATTTCAGCCAGCTTCCCAGGGACAAAGTTTTCCACAAAAACATCAGATGCTGCTGCAAGCTTTAGAAAAGAAAAGGATGAGTAAAATCTGTTAATTAGCTCCCAAAAGTTGAATAAATTCCTATGTAATTTAATTTTAAAATCTTGCTAATCAAAATGGCTCTAGTCTTCATAAAAGAAAAGCCTATAGAGATATTTTTTGTCTGTCAGATTGTGCATTTCTGCAGACTACATATTAGAGATGCTGCATATCTAGAAAGAAGACTGTCAAAAATCCTAAAGTGATTAGACAAAACCATGGTATTATCAGTATCACATCAATTTCCTAAGGCTTGACAACTGTTTACAGAACAATCTTCATGAAAATTCTTTCTACCCCATTTTTCTTAAGAAAAATGAAGTGATATATCTCCATTATTCATGTTTTCTTCATAATAGAAATAATTCTTAAATTATTTTTCATTTTTAAGTCATTGATTAGAATTACCATAACAAGGCCATATATCCAACTTCCTATATGTAGAAATAGAATAGGGAGCCCAACAACACTTAAAATTTTAAAAATTAAAATTAAGATCTTAAAGTCACATTAAATACAATAGTGCTGTCAAGTTCTGCGATATTACTTTTTTCATTACTTTCAAATGAATGACCTAGTCCAAAAATCTATTGATGTTGAGATTAACATACAACCTTGATTTGCTTTAAATTCCATCCTTTCTTATAAAAATTAGAAGCAGATATACATTTGCAAATTTCACTAAGACTAACACAAGTTGACTCCTGAAGCATGAGAACTACATGTTAAAAGACAGATGTATGCCTTGATGTAGGCTTTCTGCCTGGTAAATTGTGTGAATGCACAGGAATTTAAGAAATGCTCCCTAACAGGTACACATGTTTGTGCACCCATTTTTAAGCATAATTGATATATCAATTGTTTAATGCTATTTGCAGCCAATCAAGGAGTCACAGTCTCTGAAACTGCCATGTCACAGTGTAATTAAATATACAGTGTCTTAAAAAAGCTCCTATAAACTAGTGTTATCATAACAGAAATCACAATGCCTGCATGGAAGATAAAGTTAAGGAAGTATAATTTTCTATTTCAATCCATCACAGTTTATACATAAATACTTTTCAAACTGGTAATGCTACAACTTTAGCCTAATTGACTTAAGAGATGAAATTGGTTACAACTTCTGTATTGCTTTCACTGTGATTTTATAATCTGTAAAAATTACAGTGATTGGATGGGCTAAAACAGTTGAAAGTTGTTGTCCATGTTATATTGAAGAACTATCATCTCCTACAAGCCACTGAGGAAGAAAGCATGACAGTACTGCAACATGAAAAGCACTATACTTCTGGACTGGGCAACATACGTGGAGTGACAAAAATGCTAAGTGAGGATATAATGACTTGGGCCCAGTTTAGCAGGGTATATGCTCTCAGAGAAAGGAGTCTGCAAGACACATTACAAGATTTGTGCCAGTTCTGCATCTAAAGTTTTCATTGGAAATAGTTTTTCATGTATAAAGTTGGCAGTCTACACGTAGCTCTGATGGTCACTGAACCAACAATTCTGCCATTGTGGAAAACTGGATACATAGTCTGATCCAAACTGATGCCTTAAATTTTAGCTTTCATATTTTCCAGATTCTGTACAGCATTAGCATATAACTCTGAACTTCATATAAAGTGTTAGCAAGTTCTCTTCACAGTATAGTTAGACAAAACAATCATTTTCCAGCCCAAGAACCAAAGACACCGTTGCAGCTTCAGGCCCAAAAACTAAAAACAAAGAATTGAAGAGAGCAATCTGGGAGGATGGGACTTCATAACCTGAAGCTGTAATTGGACAATTAACCCCATTATGTAAATGGACCAAAACTTATAAAAGTATTAAAATGTGTGACCTGTTTTCCATCTTGGGTGTAGCCACAGCTGGGCTCTTGTACTGCCCAAGGTGTATCCTTCAAAGGCCTTTTAATAAACGCCTACTTTAATCCTTTAACACTGTTTAGCCTCTGTGCTAGGCAGCCTCTCAAGGCATCAAAACAAACTGTGTTCTTAAAATACACAGAGATTTTCAGTCTTAATGGGGTCTTAAGTCCAATGTCAACTAAAATTTCATACTTCATGCCCTAAAATTCTCTAAACATCACTTGTATTTTAACACCTACTAACACAGCAATACAACACAGACCTGCCTTGGTCTATCTTAGAACTATCTGTTCCAGAGAGGACACTGATAGGCTCAATGTCTATGCCTCAGTAAATAATGAACAGCACAGTTCATGCCAAAGTAATCATTAAGCTGAATAACAAAGAATGATGCTACTAAGTTTATAAAGGAAACCATGCATGCCTTTTGGAAGTTTTGTTTGGTGTATTTTGGTTTGTTGTTTGTTTGGGGATTTTTTTGTGTTTTGTTTGCTTTGGTTTTTACAGGAAATCTACAGAGAAGAATCTGCACAACACACACATATATAAAAATACATTTAAACATATATGTGAGTAGCTTGCTTTATCAAGTAAGAGAGCAATGCATGGGACATATTAACCTTTCAGCTAAAAATAGTGGAAGAGAAGAAGTGCCATCGGCTCCCAGCCCATTAAGTCCCAAGTTCTTCATGAATAAAAAAATTTAAAAGTTCACTAGTTAAGGGTAAATAATTCACAAGAGAGAAGTATACTCAAGGTTCTTAAAATTAATTTCTGGCAATAACCAATAAATAATGTTCTAAAGAGATACTACAAAAAGATATCAGAGCATGGGACTGGCACATACAATCACTGAAGAGAAAAAATTAATTTTTATTCAGAAAGACAGACAAACATCTGGAATGCAAATTAACAGCCAGCCAAAAACACTAGAAGGGAAGAAAGGTCTATAAGTGACATAGAAAGAAATAAAGAAATCACAGGAATAATTTTGTGGAATTCAAGTCATCATGTATGAAAGAATAGATCCTTGAAAAAATGTTTTGTAGTGCTGTGCCAAAGGATGAAAAGCAGCCAGGACTCCTGATTAATAAATTTCTTCAGCTCACTTGATACTACTGACTAATTGTCAAGTCTGTGTTCTTGTCATCTACCTGAAGACTCTCTACTCCTGTTTTTCTAACATGATTCTAAATTGAGAATTGCCCTCTTCCAGCTGTACAAAATATATGTGGGAAATAAAACCTATTCTAACCATGATACCTTGCTTAATAAAGGTGAAAAATTTATAACATTGTTACATTTCTTTGTAGCTTTTACACTGGTGACACAACTCATATTTATGTAGGAGTAAGCAGTGTCACAAACTTCAATTTATACTTTTCATCAGCTACTTTAAAGACATGGACACTCCTTGTCATAGTACCAAATACAATGCTGAACAATGCTCAATTCCATACACATCTGTCCTGATGATAGCAGAAGACAACTGAAAACAAAAGCCTGTTATAAATATCTTCCCTTTACACATACTTTTTTACAAAACTCCAAACAGAAGTTTCATTTGAGATGAATAATGGAATGTCAAGACCTATGCACCAAATGCTTTCAAAATATATCATTCAAAATCAAGCAGAAGGATGAACAACTCCACAAGAAGCTTGATAAACAGAGCTTCATCAGTTTTCAATGTTGCTATATCACAGATAAGAATGGCATTGATTTAAGGAACAGAAAGCTATAGTGGTTATTAAAGCCACTTTTAAAAAGGATTGAAAATATAAGAAATTACTTTGTCACAGGCAGTCTCCTCATTTTTATAGCTAGTGTGGTAAATATTTAACAGATGATGCCACTTTTTCCTTCACCTCATCTTGGCTCATAGGCTCAGGCTTTTAATTCTTCAAGCACCTTCAGCCCACACATGTGGAATCAGTGGACACTCTGAGTAGTTTCTCTTTCACCATTTTTAAAGGTGAAATAATAGATTAATCTTCTTCCATGAGAGGAAAAATTTTTATAGCACTTAATTAGTAGGTAACCAAAAAGATGTCTGTGTTATACTGTGCAAAATTTTTCCAAATGAAAATTTTTGCTTCCAAATTTTTTAGAAGTTAAACATACAAATTAACAATAAACACCTCTGTTCTGCACTGTGGAATTATATCTATATATAATCTCCAGAGTATTTCTGTATGAAGCACCTTTGCATACCTAACATATCAAAAGCATCAGAAAACTTAATCTGTTTCCATTTTATGCAATATTCCCAACAAAAAGTACTACCAGACAAATTCCACCTACTGCATGACACACAGTGTCACTGTGAAAAAGGGATTGGAACTGATACTGAAACAAGCAGTAACAGAAGTCAGCTGCTACTACTGCAGGGCTTAAAACACAGCACTAGCAAGTAGCAGATCTTGCATTTCTCAACAAATAATAAATAAAAGGATAACAAAACTCAGGTTTGACGAAATGTGAGATTTGATGCTTTTACTATTTTTAGATAGAGAAATGGATCACCTTAAAAGATGTTGGAAGTCAAATACTGAAAAAGAAACAAACACTAAGTTTCACCTACAGGACAATGGTTTTCAGGAAGATGTACAGCAACTGAGCACTGTAACATTCAAAAAACTGCATTTACTGGAGCACAGCATCTCCTCCTAACTGCTCACTGACTTCATCCAATCAGTCCATCTTGAATTGTTCTACTGCAGTATTACAGCAAGATTAGTAGTAGTACAGCAGCAGCAACAGGAAAGGAATAGGCTATTAGACCATTTCCTCACAATATTTCATTTGAAGATTTTGATGACATTTTCATGTCATCATGTAAATCTAAAGTCATTACAAGTTACACTGAACACTGAGTCCAAAAGCACAGAGTACAGAAGTATATAGTGTAATTTACAAATTTTGCTGCATACACAGATTTTTTAAATTATCAAATTAATACTTGAAATGCACAGTTTAATCCTTATTACTTAGTGTCACTTGTGAATCACTTAGGATCACAACAATACAAAATAAGGACACCTCGCATGCTATTAAAACCTACCTCTTTGATTAGCTTTACTCCTTTTGAATCCTTCATGTTGATGGCTATACTCTGGGGATTAAAAATAAATACAACAGTAATTTATGTGGAAAAAATATGCAAAAGGTATTATTAGCCTATTCTAAACAAAACCAACAGTCAAATTGCACACTATGGCTAATTTGGGTAAATAAATTTTAACACATAGCCCATCTCCTCCTGCAAAAAAAAAAAAATTCTCTCAGCAAAACAAGCTGAACTATATCTCATTAATGAATCAGACATGCACCAAAACCAGACTGACAGATGGGCAGCCTAGTCACTATATATTTACACAGGACCCACTACTGCAAGTACACAGGCAGACACCAGAAACATTTGTTTCAATGGTAACAAGCCATTAAACAATTCAGGTATGTCATGAAACTTCACATTAAGTTTCAAAAGCTAGATTTAGCCACATGGTATAATGGCAGCACTCTTCCTGCCAGCTGACACAGGGCAACTGAGCTGACGCACCTGAAAAATACGATCACTCAAATAAAATACCCCTTGCTTTCAGCAGGTTTTTTTTTCAGTTAATTAGCACCAGCAACTGAAGACCATCAGGAGCATTCTTGCTTTTTCATTTTGCCTCAGCTGCCCACAGCACAGTACCAGAGATTTGCAACCTTTGTTGTTCTAAAAACGTATGGATTTTCTCCTGAAATTCATTCATCAGAACATTAGGTCAATATAAGTATTGCTCCATTATATATATTAAGAATCAAACTAAGAAGTGTTATATATTCAGTTATAATTACAGAAAACATAGGCTCATGTTCTGTTCCACACCTCATTTACCTTTTTATTTCTATTGACACTGAGAAAATAAACGCTTTCTGTCCCAGCAAAAGGTGGGCCCCAGGCTCTTGTGTCATCACCAGCTCCTGAAAGAAATTCCATCACATATTCATAGCTGCCAAATATCACACACCCAACAAATAAGAATAAAAAGCTTTTCTCCAATATCACATTAAAGTCACCTAAGCTTCATCTAGCAGGTAGAACAAATATTAGTTTAATATATTTATTTTAGGATATTTATATCAAAAAAACACCTAAAAGTTAATGCAATTAAGCAAAGTGAACAAAGTTTTTGCTGGTGTTGGGATTCCATTTAGTCTTGAAAATACTAATACAACCACACACCACTAGTGTATATGCAGGTTTTTTGATTGTTTTTCACTTGTGGGTTGGTATTTTGGTTGTTTTCTTGGGGGAGTCTGGGGAAAGGGGAATTGCAGTTCTTTTGGTAGTTTGTTTGTTTTAACTTAATATAGATCTACAGTGCAATGTTTTTAGTCAATCTTAAAGAATTTAGTAGAGTCTCTTGCCTGCACCAAGTCACACAGTTCATGTGGTCAGTAATCTATTCCTGAAACACGCCAGATATAACATCAAGATACCACTGACAGACAACAACTGATTAAGTCCCATGCTGCACAGCACCAACTAAAAGAAGTGCTTGTTATAGCTGGTGCAGGGCCCCACCTTCAGCTCTTCCAGAAATCCTGCCTTTAATGTGTTGCAAACACTGATATTACTGTATCATTTATGCTTAATTTCTATTTTTTAACCTTTCTTAAACATCATGAAGACTAGAAATCTATTTTAAATAGAATTAAAGCTAAATTCAACATCAGATAGAATCACTGTCCTGAGTGTTAGCAAGCATGTGCATTCCTGCATCTATTTCAATATCTAGATTTCATCTACTTGTTAACTTCACATAACTGAAACTTTCCTTAGTGAGGCAGCAGGGAAGACTGATACAGAAACACAGATACAAAAACAAGCTGAAGAACCTTAGGCGGCATATTACATAGCCACTGCCACAATAATGCTATACACTATGGTAACACAAAAGTCTACAGCCATCTAACATCTACAGATGCAAACATAAGTTGCTTACCAACATTTCTACTGTTTATTATCCCAAAAGACTATTTTGGTTCAAGCAGGATGCTTAGGAGGGCAGGGGTAATCTCTTCTCTGTGTACTTTAAGTGATTCAAAGCAAAACATTTCAGTAATACTTTCCCTATAGAGCACCAGTGGGGCTACTGTTCTTTCGGATTAATACTCCTGTGAAAGTAGACATCCTCTCACAGAAAGAGAGGATTGCTCACCTTCTAAAATATTTGAAATTTAGAATTCTGAAGCTGCCCTTCTTCTTTGATCACAAAAAAATGCAAAGCTCCAAAATCATTACTTCATGCTTAATTGTTGACATTACTCTGTTCCTACTACCTAGATGTTTGGAATACCATCAGTGTTGGTCAAATCTGATACTGCAAAATTGATGTACCTTTGCCTGGTTACAGAAGTGAAAACCTTTATAACAGTGGTCAGTAAATAAAGGATGACCCATAGACTGATGTGGCAAAACATTTGTCAAACATACATTGTTTCATTAAATGTCCAAACATTCGATATTTCCTATTACAAATAACATATAGAGAATGTAGTATGTTTAGTATCTCAATTTATAAATTATTATAAACACTTACATTATAAAATATAGGGAGTGTAATATTGTTTATTATTGCAACTATTTTCACCAACTAGTTTCAAGATAAGTAATACCAAAAGAGAGAAACATAAAATATGGAAATGTAAAGGAAAAAATACATTATAAAATGTGCAGCTGCTATGGTATAATTACACACCTCAAACGCGTAACGATGCATAAAACTTAGAGCCAAGTGAGGGGACTATTTCTAAAAAAGACCCAAATGCCATGCAATTTCTTATTCCTCTTATATGGTCTTCCAAACTAAAAAGTGTAGCTATACCGTAAGAATGAAGCATTTTTTTATCATTCCCCAATTCTTAGAAACTCTTTGGATAAGAAGAACATGTGCTGAGTGGAAGAAGAAAACCATAGTGTTAAGCTAAAAAATATGCAAAATTTAATTAGAAGCTAATTACCCAATGTCCTTACATTGTATATATATACACACACTTAATAGACAGTTTTTATTATATCTAAAATAAACAAATAAAAATCTTACCTGGTCTTTCCACTTTGATAACTTCAGCCCCTAGATCTCCCAAATTCATTGTGGCAAATGGTCCTGCAAGAACCCTTCAATACGAAAAAAACATATTGTTTTCTTAGTTTTTCCAATCAGAATATTTGCATTTAGACACACTTACAAATGATAGACAAAACACAAACCTTGTTAAATCAAGAATTTTGACACCATCCAATGGCTTTACATTACTAACACCTGACAAGAAACAAAAAACAGTGATTTCAATCTAAAAAAAACCAAACACATTGTTTTTAGAACACTCATCATTCTCCCTCATCTCCCTTCCCTAATAAGTGATAATAAAGCTTTCTGAACAAGCTGGTTATTAGGTGCATACTACATTAGTAATGCCTTTCAAAGTTGGAAAACCTTAAGTATGACATTTCAGAACCTATTCTAATTCCCTAGCAAGTGTCCAATAAAGCTACTTTATAGTGATAGTTTATGTGTGCCTTCCACAAACACTCAAACAGCTTTTAAAGGCTAATCTGAAGAGAGATACAACAAAAACAAGCAACATCAGAATGACATAACATCAGAATGACATAAAAGGACACCAGACCAATGGGAAGTATAGTAGAATTCACCAAGTGTTTTGACCTGTGTAGACCTAACCACTTGCATCACACACACAAAAAGAATATCCCCTTTACAAAACTTAAGGTAGAATACATGAGCCAAGGAAACAGCTTCAATGGCAGCTGCACACGCAAGATAATTATTAAGAAATCACAATGCTTTCTTCCTTTCCCTCACCCTTTCCAACCTGACCAGGTCTAAGGAACAAAGGTAATGGCAATAAACATCACGGACAGAGCAAGTAATCTCACAGTCTAGTCCACAGGTTGGCCAACTATTTCTTTGGTGGCATTAGGTTATCTTCTTCTCCCTCAGTCTTTAATTGAAGGAAACACAACACTTCATGACCCTGTGAGGACAGTCATTCTGAGTTACTGTTTGGAAGGTGGTCTCATATCACACACAAACCAAAGCACCTGGCCAGCCACACCACTAAAGTGATACATACCAGCTTGTGGCAAGTATCTCTCTTTGAAGCTTGTCCTTGTAAGAGAAACATGTAAAATGTAACATGTTGGGGGAGGGGGAATCAAACAAACCACATTCATTCAAAGTCTGCAGGGCAGTGTGGTGCATCTCCTATATAATGCAGCAGTGCATGCCTGTATTACCTGCTCCACATTCCCCCCATTAGACCTGAACCACCATTCAGTCACCCTCAAAACTCTCCTTCCTACATATGGGAAGAAGATTTATATCAAAAGAGAGATAAAAAAAAGCTATAGAGAAGCAGCTGTAGAAATTCAAGGTTTCTGCTAAAATATTTTCATTAACTGTACTGCCTTTAACCAGGACACTTGTATCCCATTGTTCATCTTTAAGAAATTTTCCTCCATTATTACCACTTAATCCAGAGAGATTTCCATTTAACAGGTTTTGTGCTTTAATACAATACGCAGACTAAGCAGCATGTTGAAAACACGTACATCTAGGAATGGCCATGTGTTTTGCACTGTCAAAGCCTTTAGGAAAATCACAGGTTGCTACTCCTCTTCAGTGCTCCACACCTCTATGATTCCAGATGTGGGAAAACAGTTGTGCCAGGTAAACACCACAGACCCTCCAGTATAACTTCAGTTTTATTGAAAGCACAACTGTAGGCCGTTAGACTTTGGTAACTTTACAAAAAGATCGGGCCTGGAACACGGCGTGCTATTAGCCAGGGCTGCCAGGAGAGCCGACACGCCCCGTGTCCCAAGCGGCGCTCTTGCCGGCGAAGTCCGAGCCCCATGGCTGTCCAGGGGCTGCGCCCAGCGCGGCACGGCCGCGCAGGGACCCCCTTGGCCAGCGCCTCGCAGGAACCTCCCGCAGCTGTTCCGCGCCCGCCTCCCCAGAGAAGCAGCACCGACTCAGAGCCCGGCGGGATCACACGGACAGAGGAGCCCGACGCGGCGAGAGGGAAAGCAAAGGAGGAAGAGGAGGAGGAAGGTGCGGCACGGCTCTGTACCTGCCGGGGGAGCGCCTCCGCTCCGCGCCCCGACGCCGCAGCCCGGAGAAGGGCAGGCAGAGGCAGCGCTGAGGGCTCTGGCACTGCCGCCGGCAGCTTCGGGGCAGGGGCTCCTCCAGAGCCCTCCGCAACATCGGCTCCTTCTTCCCAGCCCGGCGCGCAGCATCCTCGCCACTCGAGACAGCACCGACCGCTCGGCGCAGGCGCCGCCGCCGCCCCCTTTCCCTCCCGCTCCCGGGACAGCCTTGGAGCTGCCGGGACGGGGGGCGCGCAGGCGCGGGCGGCCTCGAGCCCAGCGCCGCTGTCGGCCGGCTGCCGCGCTGCGCTCTCCGCGGCACGGCGCGCCTCTCCTGTGCTAGGAACCACTCCCGCCTGCACTTCATAAGGCAGGCAGGCGTCCTGCAGATGTTCGCGGCGGGAATTCCGCTGTTTGATGGCTGGGAATTTGCCCTTCCAGCTCGGCTTACAGACCGTGACGTACAACATTGCCCAGGTGGAATAAAAGTAGAAACCCTCCCACCACCCCGAAGGGTTTTCCGCGCTTACCAAGGCAGGCAGCCGCACTGGAGCACTCAGCGGCACGAGGGAGATCCTTCCCCTCATTGAAGGTGCAATATCACGTACCCTGTAAGCTGTATCTTCAGCTGGGTGTACTTATGGAAGGGTTAGCTTGAACTGACCTTTGAGCAAGTCTTCCCTGAACGAAGTACCCTCAGGCTACTTTTAGTCTGTGTTAGGACAGAGCAGAAGGCTTGTTACAGGAACACCATGGTGTCGTGCCTCTCTAACAAGATAAAAAAGCCTGCACAGAGGTTCGGCATTTGTTTGTCAGAAATATGTGAGGATAAAACAACTCTTGTATCTCAAAAGCAGCCGAAACTTCTGACTGCTTGAAAATGAGCATGACGAACAGCACAGACTTAAGACATGTCACATGTCAGTCTGCCTAAATGCTGGGGAAGAACATAGAGAAAATCTACATGGCAGGTTTGTTGACTGGACATGCTGTGTGTAATCAAAAGTACTACGTGGATGCTTAAAGATTTGTCAACAAGAAGAAATGAATCAGCAGAATTACCCCAGTATAACTCAACATGTGCACAATGGTATGTATTTCTAATTCATGTGGTGTGAAAAGGATTTAAATTAAACTGCACATTTTTGGAATGAGACAGATAATTTGGTAACTTACATTGATAAACTTGTCTTGTGTAGACATGGCATTCTTTGTGTGCACAATAAAACAGATAGTCTTCCAGACTACAGGATTATCAAAAAATGTAAATGAGCAGGTTTAGTCTCTTTCCATTTTGGAATTTAAAAGATATTGCCTCATTTTGCACAGAGACATTGTATAACATAGTGGGGAGGTGAGTTCCCTGTGAATATAAACTTAGTGTTTGTTATTGTAAAAAAACAAACCAAAACCTGCTTAAAGCTAAAGAAAAACAAGACTGGTATATAAAGCACAGAAACTTTCTGCTTATTTTAATAGTTAACTTTTGTTAACTGCTGTTCTGAAAGCCCTTCTTAATTATCCTATGTTGCAATGTCCTAAAACCAAGTAGTGCTTTGTTGTACTAACAGAAATAAATAACAATAAAAAAATATTTACCATTTTTTACAGAGCTGTTGAGGATTTGCATTAATATGCAAAATGAGAACAGAGAACAGAGAACAATGGTAATAAATAACATTGTTAAATTGACTTTGTGCTAAATATTAAGTTCTCCTACAAAATAGCATTTTGCCACGAGTTTGTATGAGTAAGTCTTTGCCTGAGCTACCACTCACTCAATTGCTGACAGTTCAAACTGATTTTGAGGAAAATCCTTTCATTAATGTGCTCTTTAAATGTCACTCTGTTTTTTCAATCGGGACTGCCGCAACACATAGCATTTGCAGGCTCAGACTCCAGAACAAAGGCGCACAATGAGCATATGTGAAGTGAAAAGAAATGTGAGGTAAACACTCGCTTTGCTTTACAGCAGTTCATTTCGTTGTTTTTTAGCAGCTGTAGAACCGCGGGCATTACAGCCACGCTGAGCCCACGGACGCCGTGAGCCCCATCGTCTGAGTTACCAGGCATCTTCTGAGACTCCTACTCCAGATTACTCCTCTATAGCTGAAAGCGTGCAGAATCCCTCGGACTCGGCGCGCCGGGTCGCTGTGTGAGGCTGCCAGTCGCTCTCTCCCGCCCCCCGCTTCCAGGCGGGACGGGATGGACGGCGCCTCGCCCTCTCCGCCGCGGAACGTTTAGAGGCCGGAACCTTCCGCCCGCCTGGGGGGGGGAAGAGGCGGGGGAAGAGAAAAGAACGGACGCGGCGCCGCCGCCATTGCACAGGTTCCGCTCCCGCCGTCGCCGCCATTCCCGGCCATGTACCGGCCGGGATTCCGCGCACCGACACCTCCCTACGCTGGCGGCGGCTTCCGGAGCCCTCCCTCCGGTGGAGGACCCCTGCCGCCCTCTCCGCGGGGCTACGGGAGCCCCCACCACACGCCGCCCTACGGCCACCGGCCCGGGCCGTACGGCAGCGGCCTCTCGCCCCGAGGCCCCGGGTTCCACGGGCGCTTCGGGAGCCCCTCGCCGGGGGCGCAGACCCCGCGCAGGCCGCAGAGTGTCAGTCCCCGGTATCCGGCTCCGTACGGCCGCGCGTCCCCGGCCGGAGCGCCTCTGCACCCGCCGCCGCAGCACAAGCGCTCGCCCGGCGGCTTCCAGAGGCACTTCCAGGTATGGGGCAAGGCGAAGAGGGACACGGGGAGGAAGGAAAGAGGGAGGGAGGAAGCTGCTGCTGCTGCTTCGAAGCGAGGCCCGTAGCCCGCTGGGGGAAGGCACACCGGGGCCTCGTGCCAGCGCAGCATCCACCGGCCAACAGGATTTTCAGGGAAGAGCAAGGCTTGAACCTCACTAGGCAACATCAGCTTTTCCCCCGCCCATTCCCCCGCGGTAGAGAGGACGGACAGAGCGCAGGTAGCTGTGAGATGAGAAAGGGGAAGAGGGCCGTAGGCTGGCGGGTTGTGAAGACACAAAAGTGCAGCTTTTTTTTTTTCATATTCTGGCGTATGAAGGTAGAAAATTAAGCACCGGCCAAAACGACAGCAATCACCTCCCTGCCTCTCTCTGATCAGTTTTCTTTAATGCATTGGTGAAATGCAATTTACTTTGCCCGTGTTGTCATTCATCGTGGGAGCTGCCCTATCCACACCCTATTCACACGGAGTTTTCAGGGACACGACAGAGAAAAGGAGTGCTCTATTAAAGAGAATTAAGCTGAGGCTCCTTTAAGCATGTGTTGTGGTAATAGACTTTCATTTTAAAGTCTTTGCTTTGCACTGAAAACTTCCTACAAGCCAGCAACAGGTTCTATGAGTTAAGCTTTTTTTCAGCTGTGTTAGCTGTAGCATGTGACTGGCAATGCACACAGGGATGACAGTTCTCAGGATAACAGCTTTATGTATATAACTGGCTTTATGCAATATTAGAGAAGCCTTAAAAGTGTAACAAATGACATGTGCAGTACAATGATAAATTTTTTTTTGTGCTCTTATTGGTACTTGAAGGATTAAATATGATATTGAAGTTTCATCTTAATAGAGATAAGTAAAATCTTAATGTGCCTGCACTGCATTGTCAGGTGTCCATTGAGGACGAGTATTCTGTTATTTTCTTATGATGCAGTTAACTCAGAAATCTCATAGCTGGTGGAAGGGGGTCATTACAAAATTTATACATTTTCTTCAGCACAACAGCAGAGACTCTTCTGGTGTGGAAGCCAACAGATTGCATATCCTCAGTGCCTTTTGAAAAAGCCAGGCATGTGGCATTTCTGCTGCAGGTTACAGAGGGACAATTTATGTCATTGATGTCTAATTTCCCTTCAAAAGATCACTCTTTCGCTGTTTAATTAAGTGTTTTTTTTCAAAGCCTGCTTTAGAATTAATTGAGCAGAAGAATATGCAGGAATCCTTTTGTCTTTAGTTTTAGTCAGAACTGTTTCATGTCAGCCCCTGAGGATCGGACCCCTCCCATAGGCTCCATTCTTGATGTAAGAAACCTGACATAAAGTCAGGTTACATTCTGAGGTAAGAAATGCGACATAAAGAAATTACAAGTTTGAATCCAGTCCCAGACTGTCACAACATCTTCCCTTCTCCCTTTTCCTTCTTTAGACCTTGTGTGTAGTTTAGGAGCACTGGCCCAATGGCAACTCCTTCAGAGACTCAAGGGATATTGAATGTCTGTAGCTTTGCCCAGGACTGAAGAATGTGTGGGTCTGCACTTTGTGTGTACACATGAACTATTCTGCCTGGGAGGGCAGTAGAGGCAATCACAGAGGGAGTTAATATCATAAACCATGAGTCCTCATCTGCTTTGGTGTGGACAAGGATCTCTGCCCATGAGGCCATAAATAGATTCAGGTAGAAAACCTTTCTGCATTTTCTTGTGAGGTATATGTATTGTCCCCTCTCCTCTGTAGAGCCTGTTAAGTGAACTCCAGTGCCTTTGACATTTATGATGCTACAGTCACTTTTGAGATGAAAGTCTTAAGTGACCCTTTAAAATTGCATTGAAGAATCCAAAACACAGTTTATGTTTACTTTAGTGTTGTATTAATGTCATTAGTATTCTGTACTCATTTTGTGCTCAAAGACTTTCATTCTTTGAAACAAAGAGAAAACTTGAAGAAAAACATATTTGGCTTGTTTTTTTCTGAAATGGCTTACTCAACCTTTATGTGGCCAGTAGTTTACAGCACTTTCTGGTTTTTTCCACAGAGGTGCTTCTGCTTTATATTTTATGAAAACATGTTTCTGGAAACAAGGGCCTGTAGTGACAGGACAAGGGAGAATGCCTTTAAACTGTAAGAGAGTAAGTTTACATTGGATATTAGGGAGAAGCTCTTTACTGTGAGGGTGGTGAGGGACTGGAACAAGTTGCCCAGAGAAGTTGTGGATGCACCATCCCAGGCATTGTTCAAGGCCAGGCTGGATGGGGCTTTCAGCTGTCCGGACTAGTGGGGCGGTGTCTGTGCCATCAGGAGGAAAGTTGGAACTAGATGATCTTTAAGGTCCCTTCCAACCCAAACCATTCTGTGACTTGTCTTTGTTGCATTTCTCATCTCCACTTAGAATTCACTTAGTGGTAATGTTTTATTCTCTACACGTAGCAGCAACCAATGAAC